TTAGCCAATCTACGCACATACTACAAAACGAAAAAGTACATTAAAATTTTTGTGTAGACTCGATGAATAATAGCATTTTTGTTTTTATTGTGTCCACATTTAAAAAGAAAAAATTTTAATCAAACTACATGATACTAATTTAATTACGAGAATTAAAACTAAAGTCCTGAAAGTTTCGGTGAAGATGAGGATAGAGCATTTGCCTTCCACGCTAAAAGCCCGGGATCGAATCTAGGCCGAGGACTAATTATTTTTTCATGTTTATTTTATTTTATAAATTAGCCAACTTCGTAAATTATTTTAAAATTAGTTATTTTGTCTAAATAACCTAAAATCATTTTTTAAATTTGTAGATTTTCGTTAGTGGGTCGTAGAAAAAATATACTGACCATATCGAGTGGATTGTTCATATCACAATCAGACGATTGAGTACTCCGCCTACGACGTCGTGCTCAAACTTCGTCTTTGTGTGATATGGCAATCATATCCGCCCTTGTTGAACAAACTACTATTTATTTGTTTTCTTGGTTTAAGTTTTACATCAGAAATAGGAACTAAATTAATTTACTTTTCAAGTTTTCTTGTAAAAATCGATATTACTTTCTCCAAGTACAAATTTAGTACCTACCTAAAATAAGTAATAATTATGTAATTTCGTGTAATATTGTAATTCAAATTTCACATTACTATAAAGGTTCAAAATTCCCTACTTCGGTATGGTCAGATAAAAATTGAATATATTATATTAATAAAAACTGTCAAAGTATTACTTCTACAAATCTGTATTTCAATTAATAAGAATACATCTAAATATAACCAATATTGTTAAAATAAAAGCACAAATTCTTTATAATTCCAAAATACCATAGAGTTCCCAGACCTCAGTCGAAGCATTCGTTTATTTAGGTATAAACCCTTTGCGCGAAGAGTAACATTGCCAGACACACGGGGTACTACTTGATTTGCATCCACGAGCGTGACAAAATTATTTAACAATTGAAGCCCTTGGTGTAAAAAGGATCCAAGCCACAAATTGTCGTGAAGTGACTGTTTTAGCTCAAAACATTTGTTGACGAGGATTTTACTAGCCACATACAAATTATTCAACCTCTAATTCGAAAGATGTGCTATTTTTCGTAATATTTATATTTAAATAATTTTTTAATTATATTTGACAAATTTAAAACAAATTAAAAATTTAATTTCCCAAAACTTACTTAATATGGGATGTAACCAACCTTATTACGCCAAGGTTTTCAATTTTTTCAATAATAAAAAAATATTTTAATCCGGGCCCGACTTTTCCCTCGAATCTAACAGAGATAGCACCATTCCGTCTTGCTTGGTTCTCGACCGCCAGATCAAAGACGCCGACACGGAGTTGTGGAGCTGTATTGTATAAGCTGTGTTATTATCTTCTTCGGGGAATAATTCAACCCACACCTTTTTAAAGACAGATAAGTGATTATGGTTTGAGACGCAACTCGAATACGTCCGCCCCAGCAGCTAATGACTACCTGTTGAACCTTTCTGTTTTGGGTGAAAGTAACTGCTGTAGAAAATCATTAGGAATTCCAAGTATTACGAAAGGGGGTTGCCGAATTTAAGCATGGTCCTCTGAGCCTAAATGGACGTCCAAAAACTGTTACTGTCCCAGATATGATTGAAAAAGTCCACCGTATCGTATTGGATGACCGTCGAGTAAAAGAGCGCGAGATAACAGACTTAGGAGTCTATTCTGTAACAATTCATTTATATTTAACGGCCTTTAAAAATATTTTCTTCTTTACTTCTGTCATTATTTAAACGGATCTTTAAAATACATTAGAGGACTATCTTAAATAAATCTGTTTAAATAATGACAGAAGTAAATTAACGAATACAAACATATTTTTAAAGGTCGATAATATTTTTAAAGGCCGTTAAATATAAAGGAATTGTTACAGAATATACCCCATAGTAAGTATCTCAAATGACACAGTTGTATACAGAATTTTAACTGAAGAATTGGATAAGAAAAAATACGTTGAGTGCCGCGACTGCTCACACCGGGAAAAAACCAATTGAGTTTCTCGCCACCTTTTGGCACGTTTTCGAAATAATCCGAAGGAATTTTTGCGAAGTTTCATGACAGTCGATGAATCCTGGGTCCACCATTATACTCCCGAAATCAAAAAACACATAATAATCGAATTAAATTAGAGGTTTTGAGCTTACATTAAATTGTAATTAGATGAAACAAAATGAATTCTATGTATTTTGAGGTGATCTTTTCGAAAAAAGGCAAAACAAAATGTAGCTGTTTTTCGAAAGTGCCGAAATTTTGGATTTTGTCAATTTTTCAATTTTGCACAGGCGCATGTCGGAAATAAATTAATATTTTCAAAACGCAGTTTACGATATTTCAAAGCTTAGGAAAAATGCTAATTTTCATGTCTCTTGAGAAATTTTGATCCGATGCACCGTTCTCGCGGTATGGACGATTGAAATTTGTTTAGTATTTTGAGGCGGCGAAGGTCGAAAAATTGAATTTGTTAAATGTTCAAACACTAAATTCTTCATAACTTTGGTAAAAATTAAGATATTTGAAAAAACAAAAATGCGTTTTGAACTAAAGGGATGTGACTATTGATTCCCAGAAGGGGGCAAAAGAAATCTCAAAATTGGGTATATGGCGGAAGGGCAAAGTGTATCGCGGGCCTAATTTCATTGTTTACCTATAACGGCCAAACTATTTTTTTAATGCCACTTACAGAGCTTACTTTTGAATGTGAAATCTTATGTGTGTGTAAATTTCACCGAAATCGGACTATAATTGGCCAAGATATCAAACAATTAAACAAATTTTTTTCCCTAAAAAAAACTAAATTTTTTTTCGAAAGTTTGAAGTGGCACTAAAATGCCAAAAATGCACCCAATGGCTCAAAACTTTTTTTAGAGTACTTTATTGTGTCTAGAATACGATTATATTACGGAAAATTCTGCAAAAATTTATCTATTTTTTTGACCACTGTTCATTGAGTGACGACCAAAAAACTCTGTTTTTGAGAAAAGTTGCCTAAAATTGACGATTTTCAGTTTTTTGGTCTGAAAATTGAACAAACCCAAATTTCATGTCTTCTAGATGTGTATACAAAGTTTAAAGTGTGTATGTTTCTTCTAAGTTATAGAATTCTCCCGACAAAAGTCCCATTACACGCGCTCCGCGGGATCCAAAACTTGTGTATACACTGCATTTCTGTAATTTGATTTTTTTTGCAATTTCCAATTTTAAATTTCGTACATACCTAAATTTATTAGGCTTAAAATATATTAAATTGTATTTTACTGACTTGTTATAAGACGTTTCATGAGTTTTGTGCAAAATATAGAATTACCGCAAAATTCGCCGCACGTCGCATCAAGAATAGCCATGGTCTCGGCGTTCGCTATCCGACAAGTTTAAACTTCAAACGGTCATATTATTACAAATTGAATCGCTTGATAGTATTCATCGGCATAGATTTTTAATAATCGTGTTCAGCAAGCTCTGTGTACACGTGGTTTTTCGGACTTCTTCAGCAATTTATTGAGTAAGTACGTTCCTAAATCAAGAAAATTCTATCACAGTGCTATAATTTTTTGTTTCCAGGTTGCAATGGCTGGCCTGTGTTTATTATGTCATCAGACACTTGCAGAGGGTGAACTTACCCCAATTAGTTTTTCAAATATATTTTTTTCTTATATGTTTTCGGAAAACTCGGAGAAAATCATATAGGAAAAAAATTTAAAAAAAAACTACGCCTTCCGGTTTCCTGCGAATTCCCGAAAAATTATGGCAGATTTCGCCGCGGGACTTATTTTATTTGAGAGCCAACAAAAAACTACGCAACTTCTCTCATGGGCACATATGTCTAACATTTATAATTTCGCCACAAATTCATCGCAAATTTCATGTCCATGGTTCTGATCAAAGAAACGAAAAAACAACTTTTTGGTAAAAGCACTTCTGGCGTCGAGACATTCGCCATTAAAACTACCTGTGCAATGAATTTCCGAACTATTTTTGCCTCCTCTTTCGATTGGTGCATTTATTTTTACTATCGGAATGATACTTGACCAGATAATTAGCATTTTTACCATGGAAAATTCCGGAAAACCCGGTTTTTCCTAATATAAAAAAAATTGAACAACATCTACATCTTTCTTCGGTTTTTTCGGAAAGATCACATCAAAATACATAAGAACCACTTTGTTTCATCCAATTACAAATTAATGTAAGCTCGAAGGGGCTTTTTTTCGTTATTTAATTGGACTAATAAAGGTTATTCGCCAAGAAAAAGGTAAAAACGAGTTTGTTGGAAAAAAATGTTATGGCCACTGTGTTTTGGGATTCTCGTGGAATTATCTTGGTGGATTACTTAGAAGAGGGGAAAACAATAAATTGAGAATGGTATGCCAATTTGGTGCAACAACTTAGCGACAAAATCATTTGATGAAGAAGAAAGTGCTTTTCCAGGATAAGGCACCTGTCCACAAGTCTGCGATTGTAATAGCCAAAATTCATAAATTGGGATTTGAATAATTAGTTCTTCATTTTCCCTATCCCCAGGTTACCTATTCTTGAATGTCAGGGAGTAGAAATTTTGAGGGAAGAATGAGACAAAAATACCAATTTTGTGCGTTGCAGATAAAGAGGAAAAACCGGTTTTCTACTCCCTCGAATTCAAGAATAGCTACCCTGATTTAGCTTCCAGCGATTATCATATATTTCCTAAATCTGAGAAAATGGCTCGTCTAATTCCGAGGTAATCGCTGCTGTAAATAGCAATTTCGAGGACTTGGATCCATCGATGCTAATTTGAAATACCGTTGGAATAAGTGTGTTGAGCGAGCACGAGACTATGATTGAAAAATAAAATGTTTTTGTCACGTAGGCCACGTAGTTATCGAACAATCCCGCATATAAAGTATGCCATTCTAGTATAAATGATAAAATATATATAAAAAAAAGTACTAACCTCTTGTGTTTTCTCCGGTGAAATTCATATATCTGGATATTCTCCTGGCCAACAGGCTCTTGCCTCGTCCAGGCAACCCGACCATCGCCACCAATAACGGCGCGAACTGCCTCAAGGTATTCCTCCTGGGCGCTTGGGCACCTGTACGAAAAACGTCCATGTTTAAATTTTTTAATTTGGCCGCTAAATTTTGATCGATTTCTTTCGAAAATTTCCTTTTTGAATCCATGTTAATTATTTTTTTTTACTGTTTAACAAATGCGTTCTTTAACAAACGAAAGCGCAAGCCATACTGAACTGGTTAGAGATTAAAGTTGCTATTATTATTCAATTAAGTTTATTTATTTCATCAGTATAAATCCGCTTCGACGATAAGGATTATCGGCTTCAATTTTTATTATAATAGGAACAAATATATTTAAAATGCAAAATATTTTTTACTTTTGGTTGGAAACGAGGTTTGTTTGCACAAGATTTTTACAAAAAAATATGCCTTATGTTTCGATAACAAAGCAAAACACAAGTATTATCTTTTATGCAATTTTTGGAAATGTGAAAATATAATCCTCAATTTCTCCTACGAAATTAAGGAATGTATCCGCTTATCGAAAAAGTGAAAACAAACCAGGGAATAATTTAAAAAGCTGAGAAGTAAAGAAAAGCAAAATTGAGTCCTCGGTGCCTCTACCAGTTGGACCACCAAGACACATAGCTACAACAATCGAAATTGTTGCATGGGCGGCGACAAGAGTCGGAATCTGATGACTTCGAATCTACAAATTCAACTGTTGTAGCTGTGTCTCGGAGGCCCAATTGGTAGAGGCACCGATGGCTCAACTCGGAGATTCCAGGTTCGATCACTAGCAGAGGCATTCATTTTTTCTTTTCTTTATTTCTCAGCTTTTACAATTTTTCTTTATTTCCACTTTGGGAATAAAAATAATAATTCTCTCCCTATGTAGGAGATGTGGGAGATACATTTCTTAATTTCGTAGGGGGAATTGGAGATTATATTTTCATATCTGTATTGTTCGGATCTAAATCGATTTTTCACCTTTTTTTATGTTTTAGCAGTAGCAAAGAATGTCTCGGAGAAAATTTTAAAATTTAATGAATTATGGAAAATAGTAGATGAAGCTGGGTATTTGGGTATTATTATTGATAAATCTTTGTTTCGCCGATCATATTAATAATTTAATTAGAAAGTTTTACACTTCATTAAGATTATTATGCAGTTATCGCCATGCGAAAGAAGGCAGCAAAGCACCTCGGGAATTTTGAGTTGAAACATATGCCACATTTTTAGGCTATTTTATACCCTATTCAAAAATTTTATGCTCCTCGTTTTTAGCAAAAATCAAGGTGCTCTGCTAGCTTCGAACGAAGTCAGCAGAGCACCTCAGTTTTTTAAAGCTTTTTCCAAAACCAACGACACCATATTTTTAGGCTATTTTAAGGCTATTTTTATACCCTATTCAAAAATTTTATGCTCCTCGCTTTTTTTGCATAAATCAAGGTGCTCGCTAGCTTCGAACGAAGTCAGCAGAGCACCTCAGTTTTTTTAAAGCTTTTTTCCAAAACCAACGACACAATATTTTTAGGCTATTTTAAGGCTATTTTTATACCCTATCCAAAAATTTTATGCTCCCCGTTTTTTTGCAAAAATCAAGGTGCTCTGCTAGCTTCGAACGAAGTCAGCAGAGCACCTCAATTTTTTTAAAGGTTTTTTCCAAAACCAACGACACCATATTTTTAGGCTTTTAAAATATAAAACTTTTCTAAAAACAACTTCACCACATTTTTAGGCTATTTTAAGGCTCTTGAAATATTATAAAACTTTACTAAAAAATTGCTATTTTTAAATAATAGAGGGTGCTTTGTTGGAGCAAAGTCAGCAGAACACATCCGTTTATTATTATTTTTTTCAGAAAACTAGTTATGCTACGTTTTTAAGCTATTTTTAGGCTCCTAAAACCATATATAACTTTTCAAAAAAAAAATGCATTTTTTAAAAAATACAGGGTACTTTGCTACTTTCGAACGAATCTAACAGAGCACCTCGGTTTTTTAAAGCTTTTTTCTAAAAACAACTACACCACATTTTTAGGCTATTTTTAGGCTCTTAAAATATTTTAAAACTTTACTAAAAAATTGCTATTTTTAAATAATAGAGGGTGCTTTGTTGGAGCAAAGTCAGCAGAGCACCTCCGTTTATTATTATTTTTTTCAGAAAACTAGTTATGCTACGTTTTTAAGCTATTTTTAGGCTCTTAAAACAACATATAACTTTTCAAAACAAATGTATTTTTTTAAAGAATACAGAGTGCTTTGCTAGCTTCGAACGAATCCAGCAGAGCACCTCAGTTTTTTAAAGCTTTTTTCTAAAAACAAGTACACCACATTTTTAGGCTATTTTTAGGCTCTTGAAATAATATAAATTATTCAAAAAAAAGTTTTCTTTTATTTATTTTCTCTTCGCAATCATGAACATATTTATAACATAACCAGTTACATAATGTTCAACTTTATGTAACTCAAAGTAGATAGATCATTTGGACACTCGCTACGATTACAAAAATGTCACTTTGTAAGTCAAATTAAAAGAAAATTTGTATTAAATACTTATTAAGATTAGGATAGGCTCATTGCAAAAAACCCTTAATTAACAAACATTTTAATTTCTACGATTAATTATATCAATGCGGAAACTCGGAAAAAATAATCGAAATCAATGATGAACAATATACAAATAAGTTGTTTTAGCTGGAATTGATTGATTCAAAATTGGTGTAAATACCAATTACAAGGTAGTGTCCGTGTTAAAAATTCCATACCTGTTGATTATATTAAAATTGCAAAGTAAATGTTCAAATCAAATCTAAATATCAGTCATATCATAACACCTACTCATACGCAGAGTCTTCAATAATATTCATATCTCACGTGACTAAATTGACTAAAAGTAACTTTTTCCAAAAATAATTAAATAAAAAAGTTTTCCATATGCCGCTAACTTAACGTAGACACGAGGGGCAAATCACTCTTCGTAAAAATGTACATGTATTGCCGAATTCATATGATTTCCGCAATCATATGGCGATTTCTGGATGACTGAGGCGATTTCTAGATGACTGCGGCGATTTCTGGATGACTGCGGTGATTTCCATATGACTTCCGACAGATTTCCCGTGACTGCGGTGATTTATGTATTGACTGCAACGATTTCTCTATTGATTGCGGCAATTTCCCTATTGATTGCGGCGATTTCCCTATTGATTGCGGCGATTTTCTCGTACGTATGGATTGTCAGTATTATTGCAAAATTGCACGCATTCCGAAGGATTTCTACGATAGTGTATGGCTTACCAGTTGGTTTCCAGTAAAAAATCCGACCTATGTACCACGACTCGTAAAGAATTGCGTAATATTGTTCGTTCCTAATTAAAATGCCATTGATATTTTTCTGGAGCAAAGTGTTTTCACCGGTAGTTTTTTCACTTTCTGTTACATCTTTGTCATTGTAGTTATTTGATATTTTAGCTGTGTTTTTTCTGGGCTTGTTTTTTTTTTGGTTATTTAGTACTGCTGAGGATGTTCCTTTTACACGAGATAATCTGTCAGTTGACAAGCGCCCATCTTCAGTGGAAAATAACCAACAAAGAGCTGATTTTTTTACCTTCATTTTTTTGTTGTTCACAATTATGTTTAAAAATGAGGTATCAGAATCACTTTTTGTGTAGTAATTTCGAAAATCCTTTATATTAAGATCTTCCAATCCATAAAAAATGCTCTTTTCATTATCTACATCATATATGGAAACTTAAGATTAAAATTTAATGTTTTTTACTTTATCCGTTTTTGATTTTTCTTTAAAATTCGAAATTTACACATTTTCTTAAATATCTCGAATACGGTCCATTTTAGAGAAATTATGTATAGGGCAAAAATTATATTACAAACAACTTTTATTTGAACAATTTTTATAAAAAAATATTTTTTTTTACATTTTGTCAAATTTCTCGAATACGGACCAAATTTTGTATAGAACAAATTATAGATAATAATTTTGTAAGTAACTTTTATTTGAAACAATTTCTTCTCCAAACGTAAATAACAGATATATTCCATAAAATATAAAAATGATGACTATAAAGTACCCTCCAAATCTTCCCACTCTGTCCAAAATCTAATCAGCTAATTGGACGCCGGAATAAAGCTTAAGTTTAAAAATTGGTGTTTTTCTTTGTATCCGTTCATGAGTTATCGAGGATACAGATACACACACAGACATCATCGCGAAAATAGTCAAAACAGATTCAGGATACCCCAAAACATAAAAAACCGTCGAAAATTCGAGGTCGAAAAAAATCATGCTTCCTATACTTTCCTTATCTGTAAACAGATAGGAAAGTAAAAATACATTTAAAACCCTAATTAAAACGTGTATCACCCCAACCCCCATAAAATACCAACAATTTTGTTATACATTAAAAAAAAAACTAGATGAAAAGGGACAATTTTCGACCACCTTGTAAAATCTTGTATACAAGTAGATTTAGTGTCTAAATTTATCCTAAAAAAACCTTCAAATTCCAAAATGTAAATTTAACTTAATAGTTCTTGCCTCAAAATGCACGGAAGGACCATTTCGATAAATGTAAACTGCAATTTCTTTACACAAAATGGTTTAGATGGCTTAATCAAAGCACCTTACATCAACAATGGCTAATTGGTTAATGTCACCTTACTGCGCGCGATTTTTAATGATGGCTAGTGATTGCTCAGTGACTGCTAGAGAATTCGGGGGACTGCAAGGGAATTCGGAACGACTGCGAGCGAATTCGGAACGACTGCGGCGATTTCTTAGCGATTGTCACTGATTTTGATGAGACTGCGGCGATTTTCAATGGGATTGCGGACATTTTGTACACGTATTGCGGGAGTGATTTGCCCCTCGCGTAGACAGTTGACGGCTTATGGAAAGCTTTTTTATTATTTATTTTTGGAAAAAAAATGTATTCCTCATAAAAAGTTGCTCATTATCAAAAACCTAAGAAGCAACTATCTGATATCAAATTTTATTAGTCTTATACGAGGTTGGTCAAAAATAAAGGTTGATCAAAATCATATTTTTCCAACAAAGCTTCCTGTATTATTTAGAAATGTAATTTTTTTAGTAAATTTTATAATATTTCAAGAGCCTAAAAATAGCCTAAAAATGTGGTGTAG